GCACAGATTCCTTTCTTGCTACAGCAACTTGAGTCCCTTTCCTGTCAACTGTATTAATTGCAAGGTTAATTCATGACAATCCTGATATTATGATACAAATTCCTTTCTCTGAAATCTAGGGCTCTTTCTACTATTTGACCTTGCTGCCTCTGAAAGCAAAGTCTCTATTTAGGATTCAGAAATACACACCCTCAAGTTCTCTTCGATGTATCTTTTTGTCTTCCTTCATAATCTATTTAATAATCCTTATAAATGCAAATTCATCATGTGGAATTCATTCTTAAACTCATATGCATATATATTTAAGCAGGGCATTCCCTGCATCCCTCTAATAAACACTGAGTCAGAGACAAATTGATTTAAAAACTTTTATGCTAAGTACAATGACTTTACTTTTGGATGGACAATTCTGGATCATTTGAAGTTGTGGGGACACAACCCAGCACCTGCTGTGCGTGCAAGATCTTTGGTCATCAGGTTCAATTATAAATTAATTGTCAGGAGTTTAGAGTATATTTAACCTAAGAAACAGTATTATAATTAGTAATGTGCTTCTTAGTACAGAGACGTTGAATTAATCTAAAATGTGATTAAATTATTATACCTTTGAATAAATATGCTGGAATATGGAATGATCTTAGTATTAACAATTAAAATTAAATAAAAAACTAAAACTGAAGAGGGTGGCTTAAGAAAGGAGGTTTGGGGCCTCCCTGGTGGCTCAGGTGGTTAAGCGCAGGGCTCTGGAGCTGTCCACAGCCTCTGCAGCGTGGGTTCAATCCCACCCAGCCAAGGAGATAAACACATGGCGCAGTAGACCTCTCTTGTCTTGCCCACTGCTCCCCTCAGCAGTGTTATTGGTCCATCTGCCCGTTCTGCTCCCCGCTCTGTCTCTGGTGAACCCTCTCACCCTTCTGCACCTCTGGCCTGTACCCCAGTTCTTGTATGCATGAATAAATAAATCTTAAAAAAAAAAAAAAGAGGGCCTCCCCGGTGGCGCAGCGGTTGAGCGCTGGGTTGCGAAGCTGCCCGCGGCCTCTGCAGCGCCGGTTTGATCCCCGGCTGCTCCCCGGCCACCGGAGGAGGGTCCCACATGGCGCGCAGACCTCTCCTGCCGCCCGCTGCTCCCCTCAGCAGTGTACTTCGGCCCTTCTGCCTGCTCTGCTCCCCGCTCTGGCTCTGGTGAATTCTCTCACCCTCCCGTGCTTCTGACTGTACCCAGTGCTTGTATAAATAAATAAAAAATAAATCTTAAAAAAAAAAAAAAGAAAGAAAGGTGGTTTGCTGATGGAAGACTGAAAAGTAAATGAAAGTTGTAGCCATTCTAAGAGGCAAGCACTCAGGAGGTACTGCCAAGGATATAGTAGGTCATGACTTAGGCTTTTTATTATATTTGATTTCACATGAAAATATATAAATTTTCTATGGTATAAGAAATGCTCTATTATTACTCTTAAACTTCAGAACCACACTGAAGTAGAACTAAAAAAAGGAAAACACAAGACCTTTTGGTATCTTTTTTTAATGTGCATGTCAATCTGACTGTAAAATTGGAGCTACCAGGGAAAAGGGGAGGGGCGGAGAGAAGGGATTTGGGGCCTAATGCTTTGGTGGCGGGTGCTGTGTGGTATCTTATATCTGAGGAGGTGTGACCCTATATGTCTCAATCATACAGAGTGTTGTAAACCAATGCTACCTCGATCAATCAATAAATCAGCTCAGTTTTCATAAATCTACTTTCTAAAAAAGCAAGTAGACCCCAGATTACATGGCTGGGCTGGAAAGGAGAGAATAAAACAGAGACTAATGTTTGTATTTCTGGTATGAAAGTCATGGTAAGTTTTACATTAGCATCAATTTTTTTAAAGATTCATTTATTTATGCATACAAGAGCTGGGTTATAGGCCAGAGGTGTGGGGAATGAGAGGATTCACCAGAGACAAAGTGGGAGCAGAACAGGCAGATCTGAAATACACTGCTGAGGGTGTTATAGGGCAACCCAGATATAAAATAAAATGGGTTGCCTGGCTGTGGGTCCTCACCCGCACGCTTAAAAGGGACTTATTAATACTCCACTACAGGCACAAACAAAAGGTTAATGAAAGGTTTATTTACAAGGGAAAGGGAATTAAGGAAATGTACAACTCAGGGAGAAAATAGGGAAATAAAGTCTTTAATGCGTCCTACCCGATCCGCCGACCTGGACACCCAAAGGCACTTTCAGAGCTGGCCGGACGCTGCGAGCTAGCGGGGAGCCAAAATGGGGAAACCCCTCCAAAGCCCACGTGTCTGGCTTTATACCACACCTGGCTGCTTAACCCTACCCTCAGGTCCCAGCCACCTTCCCTTTGGTGGTGATGGGATTTGGAGTTCCCAGTGTCTTTTGGCTTTGGTCTGGAGTGGGGGGGTGGAGTCTACAAAGCCTGTATGGAATTAGCTTTAGGACATCCTGTTCCCCCTAACAAGGGGAGCAGTGGGCAAGATAGGAGAGGTCTGCTGCGCCCTGTGGGTCATCTCCCTGGCTGGGGATCTAACTCGTGCTGCAGTGGCTGCAGACAGCCTCATAAAGTTGGGACTGAGGGCCTCCCCGGTGGCGCAGCGGTTGAGCGCTGGGTTGCGAAGCTGCCCACAGCCTCTGCAGCGTCGGTTCGATCCCCGGCTGCTCCCTGGCCACCGGAGGAGGGTCCCACATGGCGCGCAGACCTCTCCTGCCACCCGTTGCTCCCCTCAGCAGTGTACTTTGGTCCTTCTGCCTGCTCTGCTCCCCGCTCTGGCTCTGGTGAATTCTCTCACCCTCCCGCACTTCTGACTGTACCCAGTGCTTATATAAATAAATAAATAAATCATAAAAAAAAAAAAATTGTTAAAAAAAAAATAAAATTGGGACTGAACCCTTTGTGCCACCAGGGAGGCCCCTTTAATTATCTTTAAATAAGGCTTTTCTAAAGGAATTAGAGGATAGGGCCTCCCCTGGTGGCGCAGGTGGCTGAGCACAGCACTGTGAAGCTGTCTGCAGACTCTGCAGCGCCGGTTTGATCCCAGCTGGCCAGCGAGGGTCCCATATGGCGCCACAGACCTCTCCTGTCTCACCCGCTGCTCCCCTCAGCAGTGTATTTTGTCAGTCTGCCTGTTTTGTTCCCTGCTCTGTCTCTGGAGAATCCTCTCACCCTCCTGCGCATCTGGCCTGTACCCTGATTCTTGTATAAATAAATAAATAGATCTTAAAAAAAAAAAGAATTAGAGGATAGAACAGAGCATGTAGGATGGGGCACTAAAAGGAAAAAAAAATGTGTGTGTGTGCAAGTAGATGTTTAAAAAGAGACTGGCACATATGCATAATTCATACTGAATTATGAAGCAAGTGAGCAAGCCAGAAAATCAAGGAGCACAAACAGGAAACATGCCAGCAAGAGGAAGTGGTTAGCAGTGGACAGCACAGGTACAGTATAGACCCCAGAATCTATGTGCCCCCTGAACAGCAAAGCTCAGGGAAGGGTTGGTGCCTCCAAACACACCAGGTGAAAGACGCTGCAGTTTGAGGATATGGATGTCTTCCTGTACAATATTCCTAGTTTAGGGTTACTTTCATTTCAAAGGTGGAACTCTTTGGGGTCACTCTGCACAATGCCTGAATTGACAAAGCTGGGAAGCACCACATTTTGGCTAGAATGGCAAGTGTCATAAAACTAGAAAGGAAGAGATTTTGCCCATGGTGGGAAATACAATTTATTAAGATATGAAATACATGGGGAGGGGGTGTGACAGAGGCCCTGCCAGTGATAACCACCAACTGACCCCAGAACTGCTAAATAGACTGTTTCAAATGCCCCCAAGGCTTGTGCTCAACAACATCAATATTCATCCTTGGAGTCTATAATTTTAATGGAAAACTAATGTGAATGGTAGTGCTGAAAGTGGAAAGACCAGCACTTCCTTGAGTTGTAGCTGAATGATTTTTCTCCCAAGTTCATTTGTGCTTTCGTGGTTTTGCTTGGCTTGGCCTTTGACAACTTGGCAGCTCAGGAAGTGAAAATGAGGGTCTCAGCAAATTGAAAAATTTTTTTACTCCAAATGTTCCTTTAATGCTGGTATTTCTCGGACACAGATTCCTGATGTCCTAATTAATTTTTCTTGGCATTTCTTTCAAAGCATCCTTTAGCATTTGTGAATCTACCTTGACTTTTCCTCTTAATTTGAACTCCCTGATATTTTCCTTTGATACAGGAAAGGCACTATTCGGTGGCCTGGTGAAATATTTTTATTTGAAGACTCTTGTTTGTAAATTGCTGAACTCAGGGGCAACTCTGGGGTGACAGCCTCAAGAAATGTCAGCTGACAGAAGATAGAGTGGGGTTGCTTTGTTTTTTCCTGCTCCCCTAGGTAAGATCTCACTTTAAAAACTCTCTTGTTATTCACAATACATTTCCAAATGAATTTGAGGTCATTAACACTCTGAATAGGATTCTGTCCTCACATTAAATTATCAGATAGTTGTTTTTCTTTGGGATATTTGACAGTAGTCCATGTGTTAGCCTTAATCTAAACCTAAGCAAAGACCTCTGACATGGTGAAAGCCACTGAAGTGGCCTTTATTTAAATATAAATAGTAAGTGTCTGCAGGGGAGGTGAGATTCTTATCTCCAAAAGAAAATTCTTCCATGATGAGGGCAAAACTACCTTAGTTCTTAGCTGATGAGCCATCAGTTTCAGAAAGCCTCCGTGCATCAGCTAAATATATGCACCAAAGAAAAAAATATACCCTCCGGTAGTATCTTATAATAGACTGGAAACATGATGTCCATTAATAGTATTAGAAATTAGGTGCCTAATGAATTGTACCCATTACTGGAATTTTTTTTGTGATAACAATTCCTTAAATGTTAGAAATTACCTCTATCTCTATAACATAAGAGCAAAGATACTATTAAAGATGCTGGGAATTATCAACACATGGAAGCATATTTTTACATAGGGAAGCAAGGCCAAGCCCCAGTACTTACTATGTAAGGACAATGGCCACTGCATCGTTGAACACACTCTCTCCAAACAGGAGCGTGTACAGGTCGGGGTCCACGTGCAGCTCGTGGAAGATGGCCAGCACTGTCACTGGGAAGAAGCACACACATATGCAGAGTTAGCTGAGCCCCCCACAGCCTGTGGTTGTGGTCACTCTAAAAAGCATTCATTAAATGCTCCTCATTTCCAACCCATCCTCTAGGCCCACACCAGACCTTTACTCAAAGGCAATCTGATCTGTCACTTCCCTGCTTAAAGAAATTTCTAGGATTCTCACAGTTGGCAGAGAAAGTTTGTGCTCCTTGGTATGAGTCTTTTAGAATCTACAATCTGTATCTCACATTGCTAACCTTTTTCTGCCTCTCTCAAGCCACACAGAACCTGCCAGAATTTCCCAAACACGTGGGGTATTTTTTAAACTCCGTTTGCATTTTATGTCTCCTTATCAGGGCACAGACTTCTTTTCCATCCACCTGTTGTTGTTCCTCCTGTTCATCAAACACTTACACACATACACACACACACACACATACAAGCACATCACCATTTCTTGCTATAAAAACACTACTTAAACTTTAAAGTCTCTCAAGTGTCCCTCCAGTCCCCCAACTACTTCAGCAGACACCTGGCTCACTCCTTTATGATACAGCATTGGAATCAAAGCACAAAATTCATCACAGAAGATTTGGGAGCTCTCTAGGGACATGGGCCATCTTTGCAACACTGGATATTTGGCAAATGTTCACTAAATGTTGTAATGCATGACTGACTGACGGCTGAATGAATGAATGAAGAATGAATGAACGTCGCAGGAGAGGTAGTTGGCACCTGACTGTCATTCTCTCCTGATATCACTCGTCTCTGTAAAGATGCATCCAATGTTCCTCAGAGCAGGACTTAAAGACTTGTTTCCAGCAGCCTGCTGCACAGCTACTGTATGCCCTGTACTTGTATGGAGCCTCTGGGAGAGCATCAGGAAGTAAATATTCACACACTGATTATCTGTTTTCATCAAAACTATTCACTGCCTTGATATTTGAAACAGTTATGCAAAATGTGAACAGCAATCATTAGGAAAATGATCCATTGAGTTGATTGCTAAAGGGGGAAAGAGGCTGGTTGAAATGATACTGCTGGTAAAATTTTAAGGCAGAGTGGGCTTTTTCATTTCTATTCTTTCCCTTCCTATTTCATGGACTGTGAGGTTAGTAACTGCATTGTATAAAAGAGTGCTGTGGGGGAAAAAACCTGAGTGTGAAGTTTTGTAAGTAGGGTTGAGGGTTGGCACCTTTCCTATTGCGGTAGGGAGGCAGGTGAGAGTGTTCAACAGGACTGGTACAATCTGATTTGAACTTTGGAAACAAAGCTCAGGCAGCAGGACCAGGGACAGAATAGGGATGTGGCTGAAGGCTTGCCCAATAGCTCCAGTAAGAGATGAGTTATACCAAAACAGAAAGAAGCCTGGTTTCAGGCTCCCAAACTCAGGCACACCCTTCTCCTTCCTGTGTGCTCCCACCTCCCTGGGTCCTCATAGGTCAGTGACCATGGGATTTGTACTTCACTTATTCACTAGTTCTCATCTCCCCATATAGTAATAGTATCTGAGAGAATAGTATATGAATGGATGCATAAAAAGTAATGTCAGGGAGGACAGAGTAGAGGAGACAGTAGCCCTAAGGTAGTTGAAATGGAGAACTGATGGTTCTTGGTGCTGAGAGACACCAAGGAGTCACTCTGGGTTTCACTCCTGGGCAACTGAGAGACTGCATAAACAATTAGTTGGTATACAGGGGATTCTAGGAAGTTTAGTTTTGTACATTTCAATATGAAAGCTGGAAATAAAATGCTTTGACTATGCTGAGTTAAGGCAGAAGAAAGAATTTGGAGATTATAAGATGCTGATAGATGGACTATAAAGTCACAAGAATGACTGAGATGCCTGGGAAAAGTATGCAGAAATAGAGTTCATGAGAAATTCTTGGGGACATTTACAGCTAAGGGAAGTGAAGGAAAAAGCAGACAATATATGTGTGGTGTATTTACAGAACCTGATGCTAAGCATGAACAAGTCAGCTGGAAACCAAGTCCATCGTGAATTTCTGTAAATGGGTTTTCATTTGCTAAAATTATCCTAGAGGAAAGAATGTTGAACTCAACAAACTAGCTTTGGGATAGAAGAGACAACAAGAGTAAAATGTCATGAATTGGCATGACAATTGACCAAGTCTCATTTTATCAGACATTGAATTAATTTTGTTATTCTAGTTGAATAAGTCTTTAATCGTAATAGGCAAACGGCAGAGATCTACTCTCCAGTAGTGTGCAGTTGTTTGCATTTGCTACACTCCTTACCCTTTGCAGGTAGTGGTGGGAGGGAGGAAGCAATTACCTCTGCTAAGTAATCTCTTTCTCCTGCTTGGATTCAGTCAAGACCCTGCATTTAATCAAAACAAAAAGACCTCGATTGGGGGTTTTCATGAGCACCATTTTCCTTTTTCTAAGACCTTGGGGAATAAAAGAAAAGTTATCTTTAAACTCAAAATTCTATCATGGCAACTCATTCGTTGACTTTACTTTCTGTGGTTGTTTGTCTTTCTGAGCTCTGAAGATGACTTGCAGCTCATCTGTACTCCCAGAAATTTTCCTAAAGTCATGAGCAGGCAGGTAAGACCTGGGTTCCTTGTCCTACTTTTCTAGCTGTGGAGCCCACTGTTCACTGAGGTAGACTCTGTATCTTTCCAGTGAGAACTCTGAACCTTTGGTGATGGGGGGGTGGTGTCAGGGGGGAGAAGGCTTTTAATTGAATATCCAGTTTTTTCAAAACTGTTTTGAAATTCCTTTTGCACAAAGAACTGAATTCCACTTCATAAACGGTATCCCACACAAAAGAGAAAGCTATTGCTTTGCACATTCCTTTCTACCCTGTAAAGAAATAGAACAGCATCGAAATAAAGCCAGGCAGTGTGTCCTACAAGGAGTATTTGCTGGGACCACAAATGAGTTGAATAAGTGAGTCAGGAAATTAACCACCCACTGTTGCTGCTGAGTTTAGATTTTTTAAAAACTCATTTAATTAGCTCACTGGCAGGGCTCAATCTTGTGCACAATGTCCAAGTGTCTCTGTAACACGTTCCCAGCAGAGAATCTCTTGAAACAGCTTTGGGCATGCTCACACCAACTCTGTCCACACCTTGGTAGCTTGCAAGGACAATCTGGGTGAAGGGAGACTTAAAAACAATGCCTATTTTGATGAACCCTTTGGTGACAATAGGAGACTATCTAGACTCTATGAGGACAAAAAGGAGAAGAGACCATGCAATTTCTTTTTCTTTTTTTTTTTTTTAAAGATTTATTTTTTTTATAGAGGCATGTTATTTATTTATTTGTTTATTTTATTTATACAAGCACTGGGTACAGTCAGAAGCGCGGGAGGGTGAGAGAATTCACCAGAGCCAGAGCGGGGAGCAGAGCAGGCAGAAGGACCGAAGTACACTGCTGAGGGGAGCAGCGGGCGGCAGGAGAGGTCTGCGCGCCACGTGGGACCCTCCTCCGGTGGCCGGGGAGCAGCCGGGGATCGAACTAGCACCGCAGAGTCTGCGGGCAGCTTCACAACCCAGCGCTCAACCGCTGCGCCGCCGGGGAGGCCCAGAGACCATCCAATTTCTTAAACCTCTCATTTTATTGAGATTTGTTAATTTTCATTTCTGTCGTACTTTAGATCCATTCATCACAGAGACAGATTCCAATGTTCCCCATGGGACTTGGAGCTCCTTCTCCTCCATACCTCAAGCCTCCCCTATTTCCTACCTTACTTTTTAGCTACAGAAAAATCTGCTTTGGGGGCCTCCCGGGTGGCACAAGGGGTTAAGATGCAACCTATGAAGCTGTCCGCAACCACTATAGCACGAGTTCAATCCCCAGCCAGGGAGCTACCCACATGACATAGCAGACCTCTCCTTGCCTGCTGCTCCCCTCAGCAATGTATTTCATTCTGCCTGTTCTGTTCCCCACTCTGTCTCTGGTGAATCCTCTCACCCCCCACACCTCTGGCCTGTACCCCAGTTCTTGTATGCATAAATAAATAAATCTTTAAAAAAAGAAAAATCTGCTTAGTCACTCAAATTGGTAAAAAGAAATGTAAGTACATATAATACAAGCCGATGTTCAAAAAGATGATCTCATATGCATACAAGATGCACAGCTTCTCCCAGGTAAGAACAGTAGATGACTGGACATTGCCACTGGTTTACTGGTGTTATATCTGAGAAAATAATTTCAGCAGCCAGACAACAAGAGGGCATGGAGGGAATGAATGTTGAGTACTTCTGAGAAGCTGGTGAGAAGGGATGGAAAAAGAATATATCTTATGAGGCATAAATTCAAGCAGGTCTAGTTCTATTTCCAATTTATAGGATGAACAAAATAAAACAGAGTAAAGAGAGGTTGAAGACAGAGGGAAAAAGAGGAATACAGCTAGATCAAGTTCAGAAGGCAGAGAACAACTGAGAACAAGGCATGAGTTAGAGGTTAAAGGAGAATTTCCAGAACATCGATTCTAGGGAATTAGGGTGAGGGTAGGGGATGAATTCAAGTTTTATGAAAAATTGTTAAGGACAAATGTAAGGTGATTCTCAATCTTCAAGAGAAAAAAACACTGAATTTTTTTTTTTGATAATTTTTTTCATCACGTTAAGAGTCTTGTCTCCTACTACAACCCTATTATGGCATTAAAACTAATCTTTTCTCATCTCTAAAGGAATAACGATACCTGGAGCTAAAAATACAGACACTAAATTTCTGGCCCATCAATATCTCACTGCACTGCCCCTTAAAATGTTTTACTTTATTTTTCACTACTCTCTTTTCAACTGACCACCTTTCTAATGCTTTTTCATTCATGTCCAAATCTTCAGGGTGATTTAGTGACAGTTCCTTCCATAGAATCTCTATCAGCAGCTCTCTGACCCATATTTTCTTGGTGTTTTACAAGTAATTTAAATTTCAAATGTTATTTTAATGTGGCAGCTCTCAGCAACTTGGCACAAGATCTGCCTGGGTCTGTGGACACCACCACACAATAGTTCCTACTCCTGTCATCTAAGTCGTCACTCAGCCTTGTCAAAATGCTGGCTGTCCCTGGAGAGTACTGTGTGTGGTTTTCTGTGCAAATCAGTATGTATGACACTTGTTCCAGACACATGGAGAATCAGAAATGTCTCTGGCTTCTGCAGCGAAATAGTGTCAGGTCTGACTGGTAAAAACCCTGGCATTTTCATAAATGAGGTAGCATTTTTCCATTCCAAAAGAGATTATTATGAAAATATGTTTTATTTTTTGCAGAGGGAGGAAGGAAGAGGAACTCCTCCTGTAACTTCCCCTACATTTTTCTGAAATATGATACATGGTGAGATTTCCAGGAGAGACTTCCAAAAAAAGTTGATGTATCTTGGTTCAGATTGGGGTCACTCTGATCTTCAGCCTTCTTGGTGAAGACTCGGTAGCAGAATCAGTGCAGGAGTGAGATTTGCCAGGCAAGCTCTGCCAATCACAACCTAGAAGACCCAGAAAATTGGGCCCTTCTGAAATAGGTGAGACAAACAATACCAGATCTAACCATTGTCCTAAGATTAATCATTGAATGTTACTTCTTTGAGGCCATTCTGAATTAGCAGTTAGGCAAAGCGTCATGAATGACTTAGGTCTAAAACACTGCAAGTTTACTGTGGCCACCAATATGATAGATCATTCTGGTTACAGAGTTAGTAGTGGAGAAAATACTACATGGAACACTGCAGAAATCCTTCTCAAAAGCTGTCCTTGAGAGAAAAAGCTCTCATGCCCCAAGGCAGTGTTTTCCAACTATGACCAGGCACCCCTGGGGCTTCCTGAAACCTATCCAGAAAGATCTCAAGGTCAAAAGCATTTTCAGAATAATGTAAAAATATTACTTGCATTTTTCATTCCTATTTTTTCATTTGTGTACAGTGGAATTTTCCAGAGGCTATGCGATGAGTGATAGTACAATTGAATGCAGAAGCAGATGTGAGAATCCAGCTGTCTTCAATTGCACCACACATAAAAAGATTGCAAAAATGTAAAATAACACTCTTCTCAATGATTTCTTTTGTGTTGGAAATAAATTCATTTTTAATAGAAATTTGTTACTTGTATAAACCTATTAGTGGTTTATGACTACAATTTTAAATAAATTAAAATGTTCTAAATTTTTACATTCTAATATGGAAAATATTAATGGACATAGCAAATAAAAAACTCATTGGAGTTTTCTCTAGTTTTAAGGAGTTGTAAGGGGTTGTGAAACCAAAATGTTCAAGTACCATTTTCCTTAAGCATTTGGCCTCCCTGGTGGTGCAGGGGTTAAAGACAGTGTTATCTGCAATGAATTAACTTTTATCCTGTGAATTAAGGATTATACTAGCTAAGCATTATCTTTGAGGGAAATGAGAAAATAGTTTCTCAATTCATTTCCTTTACCTGAAATTAATACAATGCTGTTTGTCAATTGTACCTAAATTAAAAATTAATTAAAAATCATTTTCTATAGAGTTTAATTCTCTTGTTAGCTTCCAGTTGAGAAAAAGTCCCTAGGTCTTAATATCTTTGCCACACTATAACCAGCTTATTCTTTTGGCATACACGTAAATGATTTCTAACGACCTCTAAATGAGAAAAAATATTCTTTTCACATTAATTCCACTAGCACATTTCTGAAATCACACTTCTTAGTACTTACATTGTTTAATTCCTTTTTGGAATATAAGTGCTTTGTGGACAAAGATTGTTTCTATAACATATGGATGCATAATTAAAACATGGAAATTGCAATACTTTCCTTGTCTTCAGACATGGCCAAATGGTGTTCCAGAATAATCTATTTCCTCTTTTGCTTAAAAACCAAAAATGCAGTCCCTATTATTCACTGATAATTTTAAAAGGTAATCAGAAGATCATGAGGTCTGGCATTAACAGAAGCAAAAAATAGATGAACATTGTGAAAGGGGAAACCTGTAAGTAAATCCAGGCTGCAGAAAGAATGTATCCAGGCCTTATACTGGGGAACTTTAGGGCTAAAATTCCTGGCACTTAAATTACTATTTTAAAATTTTTTCCAAAGGTGCTCACAAAAGGAATATTCTAAAATTACCACTAGTAAAGAACATAAACATTTAACAAAGACCCAATTTTCTTCCCAATGGCGCTTAATGAGCCATGATGCAGTTTAATGGGAGAATATTTGCAGTATGAGTGGCAATGATTCACCTGGTTGTACAAACATTCTCCAATCAGAGTTATTACTTATGTATTTTGCCATTTTAAAAATGACAATGTTAAGCAAAGGTTTGCCTATAAATTATAAAATTAAGTCAGAGAAAAGCTCAGTGGACACATAAAGAAGTAGAAGTTAAAATGGGTCACCAGTTGGGCCTCCCTGGTGGCGCAAGGGGTTAAGACGCAACCTGTGAAGCAATCTGCAGCCACTGCAGCCTGAGTTCGATAACTGGCCGGCCAGGGAGCAACACACATGGCGCAGCAGACCTCTCCTGACTCACCCGCTGCTCCCCTCAGCAGTGTATTTCAGTCAATCTGCCTGTTCTGTTCCCCACGATGTCTGGTGGATCCTCCCACCACCATCCCCCTCATGCCTCTGGCCTGTAACCCAGTTCTTGTATGCATAAATAGATAAATATTTTAAAAAAATAAATAAAAATAAAAAAATAAATGGGTCACCAAGAAATCAAGACTTGGAGGTAAAAAATCTCCCTGTGGTCCGTTACATCTAACAATTGTAAGGAACTGTGTTAGTTATGGCTGTGATATGCACAAGGTAAGTGGACTCACAAACGAAGATTCTCTTGTTAGAAAAAGATATAAAGGAGATACCCTCTTCCATCAAGACCCTGAGGATCACTGCAGCAATATTTCATTGGGAAAGATAAACATTCCTACTTTCTAAGAAAGATAAGCAAGACTGCTAAGAGTGCACAAGAGTGATATCAACAAGAGTCAACACTGGACCTGTGTAAGAGAAAAAGGAGAAAAAGGCAGGAAGAATGGAGTCAACTCATGAACCTGCTCACTCCTGTCATCACTGTGTGATGCTGGATAATTCCTTCCTATGATGGCCATGCACTGCGCCCTGGGATCTGTCAATGTGTTACCTTACATGGCAAGAGGGCCTTTGTAGATATAATTAAGGCTATGTACCTTAAAATAGGGAGATTATGTTGGATTATTTGGGTGGGTCCAAGCTAATCATATGAACCCTTAAAAGTAGAGAAATGTCTTTGCTTGGAGTCAGAGAGATACAGCTGAAAAGAAGAGAAAGCAGAAGAGACTTAAAAAACTAATAATAAAATAAAATAATAAAAAATAAAGTTAGGAAGATTCCAAGTGAGAGGAATTCCACACAGCAATGAGAATGGAGGGCTCACTTGCAAGACCCAAGCTTTCAGCCAGCAAGGAACAGGGACCTCAGTCCCTACCACTGGAAGGAACTAGACCTCCCCTCCCAAAAACCTGAATGTGCCTGGAAGTAGATTCTTCTAGAGCCTCCCATGAGAGAACCCAGTCTAAGCAATATGGACTATGAGATATAAATTTGTGTGGTCTTAAGTTGATATGTTTGTAGTAACTTGTGACAGTAGCCCTTGCAAATGAGTATCCTCTGCTTCTCTCCATGGGAAAAGAACCCGGTGAGCAGGCTAACCCACCGGCATTTGACTTCTCAAGGCGTGAATTACTGAGCAGGCATGTGGCTAGAAAGATCCTTCATAAGCATATCCCCCCACTAGCAAAAATGTGTCACTTATACAAAGCCATTCTTGCAGATCAGCACAGTAAGGAGAAAGCTGCACCAGTGAGAAGGCTATGAGATGATGTATCGTGGAGCCCTTTGTGCTGAATAACTACCCATATGTGCCCCCCCCCCGTGTGACCATGACACACAATACACCAATCATATGTTCAGAACAGACTGTTCTATAACTGATCAAATCACTTTATTTCCCAGTGTTGATTGCATCTGGACTACACTGTTGCACATAGCTACTAAGAAGACTTGGTGTTGAGATGGGAAGGACAGAAGTCCAGGCCAGGATGGAGGGTTAGCACAACCCAGTGAGCCAGGCCTGACAAGTGCAAGCTGGAACTATAAGGCAGCTCTTATGACAAAGGCAAACGATGGCCATTTTTTTCCTCTTTGAGAATATTTGGTATTTTATAAACTTTCTACAATTATATGTTAATTTTAGAATCAGAAAGTACAAAAGGCTATTTTAAAAATGAACAAAATTGTAAGAGGAAAAAAAGCATTGAACTTGGAGTCTGTCTCCAAGGCTGCCTATGAGGACCCACTCCCCTTCCCACTTCCTGGGCCTCTGGACTGCTGAACCATTATGCAACCTGGCACTGCCGACCCTTCCTCTTGCTCCAGGTAATATTTTCCTCTGTCTTGGGGAAACTAACCTCTCCTAGTATCCCCTTTACCTTCTCTCTCTCCCCTACGTAAACCCACCCCTAGTGCAAATGTTGTCAAGGATGCTGCCTCTCTTTCCTCTCACTCCACTTCCTCGCCCTGGCAATGTCATCCACGCCCAGTCATTTCTTTCTTTCTTTTTTTTTTTTTTAAAGATGTTTTATTTATTTATGTGTACAAGAACTGGGGTACAGGCCAGAGGTGTGGGAGGTGAGAGGATTCATCAGAGACAGTGGGGAGCAGAACAGGCAGAGCTACTGAAATACACTGCTGAGAGGAGCAGTGGGCAAGTCAGAAGAGGTCTGCTGCGCCATATGGGTGGCTCCCTGGACAGCGTCACCGTGCTGAGCTTAACCCCTTGTGCCACCAGGGAGGCTCCGCACCCAGTCATTTCAATCTTGAACCCATTTCTTCCTCTCTATCAACTGCAGACTCCATATTTAGTCAGTGCCAAGACAACACATGGAACACTTCTACTGAAACAAATACTTATTAAGCACCAACTGTGTGCCTGGCACTGGCTGTGGATGCTCTCACATTCCCTAGTCCCCAGCCAGCCCCAGTTAATCTGCTGATCTTGCTCTTGAATTACCTGTCTAAAGGAATGGGGTTTTTGCTGACCTAGGAACTCAAGAGTTTGTATTTAAAAATATTGTGATTTACCTCATTTGCAATGGAAAAATATCTGACTTTAGAGGACATAAAATCAAGAAGTAAGCCACACTTTTAGTTCAGTAGTTTACAAGGTCAGTCAAGGAAAGGAAAGAAAATAAGTTGCAGAGGTGCTAAATTACATCAGATACTGCAGCATGAACTAGTTTTGTCATATCTGAAATGGTAATCCTTTCTGGACTGGAAAATAATACAGGCATGCAGAAATCCAGCTGCAGATAAATGCATTTTCTTATGTGAAAGCAGCTTTAAAGAAAAATCCCCCAAGAAATAGCCTACACGTATTTTAATTTTCCTTTGAATTTATCCTTTTGGGGAAAAAAGTGGCCATCACTGTAATCGGTTGCTCATATACTATGAATGAGTGAATGAAGGAGTAAAACTTGAAGGTTACACACTACATGGCTAACTCATTGGGGATCAGACCAGCTCTTGCCTCCATTGTATTCTTGTATTCTGATCAGTCACTCCTTTGCCCACTCACTGACCTGACAGTACTTGTAGTAAGAGGCTGTCTCCAATTCAGTTCAAAATAATACATTGAACAACATGATGTTTTTATTTACAGTACACAGGTAAAAGGTCAGTCCCTGTCCTTTCTTGACTGTTCTAGAAGGAAGGAAGCCCCTTACAGAGCAGAGCTCCCAATCTGAGACTAGGGGGGGTGCTCTCCTGGCTCTCCTGGCATCTGACATTTCAGGAGGCACTCACTTTCAGAGCTGTGCAAGTTCTGTCTCTGCATTTACATGACCCTAAGAGTGAGTGATTCCTTCAATTTGCTTCTCCAGTTGCCTCAACGCCCCCTACGGTTCTAACCTCATTCAGGCAAGCTGAGCACTGCAGGGAGCTGGACAGTCTCCTGTCCAAGGAAATACTTTCTAAGAAATTTCCAAATCCAATTTGCCACAATGTGCAACATCTTTTTTAACACATAAATGGTATGTGTGGGTTGGACACTGATTTTCAAAACTTCTGTCCTGCAGGTCTGTCTTTGGGCTTTGCTGAGAATGAAGTGCTTTCATTTAAACAGAGTCATTCTGTTCCCCAGTGCAGTGAGCCAGAGAGGTCTGTCAGCCACAGCTGTTCCCCAGCTGTCCAAGGAGCTGTTGAATTGCTTCAAAAGGTTTTTCAGTGTGTTCTTGAAATCCCATCCTCAGAACACCTGGAGTCTTGCTTTATCGACTTTCAATATCCGGAAGCATTTATACAGCTAGTTGTCATCTATTATCTTTTCCAATTTTTTCCATAGAGCTGATTTTTCATAGCTGGGCAGCCAGTTTCTGAAGTGAGACCTTTATGCCAAGACCTTGCTATTCACCGCTCTGTTCTGAAGTCAAGATAATAGTGGGGAACTTTGCTGATGTCAGACTAACCTGCTTTCAGATCCCAGCTGTGATGCAAATGACCCTAGTGATCTTGAACCAGTTACTTAACCTCACTAAGTTTCATTGGCAAAATGGAATTAAAAATATTCCCTCTCGTGCAGCTTTTGGAGAATGATTAAGTGGGATAATTTATGTAAAGTGTCTGGCATATTGTAGTTCAATTAATGGTGGTTATTATTACTGTTATAAGTCATGTCATCAAAACCATCAGAAGGTTTGTCCATTACAAAATGGAATGACACCTTCTACCTGTGGACTTCTCCTTTGCTGCTCAGAAATGACTTCATGAGGGCCTCCCCGGTGGCGCAGCGGTTGAGCGCTGGGTTGCGAAGCTGCCCGCAGCCTCTGCGGCGCCGGTTCGATCCCTGGCTGCTCCCCGGCCACCGGAGGAGGGTCCCACATGGCGCAGACCTCTCCTGCCGTCCGCTGCTCCCCTCAGCAGTGTACTGCGGTCCTTCTGCCTGCTCTGCTCCCCGCTCTGGCTCTGGTGAATTCTTTCACCCTCCACGCTTCTGACTGTACCCAGTGCTTGTATAAACAAACAAACAAACAAACAAACAAATAAATAAATAAATAACATGCCTATAGAAAAAAAAAAGAAATGACTTCATGCATACATTGTGCAAAGATGAAAAAAGATGTAAGAATTATATAAAATAAAATATTTAAATAAAAAAGAGAGAGAAATCAGTATAACCAAGCAGAGAAGTGATGAAAACTCTGACTCCACCCTTTCCTCACAAATTACCACTTTTATTTGTGCATTCAGAGCAAACACCTAACTCCTGTTCTGTGTGAATTTACATTCTCTTTCTGAATCTCAGGGTCTCCATCTCAAATGAGAATGAGGGAGATTGCCTCTAAGGTTTTCCAAAGTCAAAATTCTATGCCTCACAGACCTGAACTCCAAATCGCAGACTCTAGATGAGAAGAGTGCTTGTTTTCCCACTGAGGCTGCTGGGGCCCCAGCATAGGACTGGTGTCCTGGGTGATGGAACAGCAAGTGAGGAACGGTGTCAAGGCCAAACGATCCTGAGCTTGACTCTTCCATATGAGTGAGAAGGGTGGTCATATAACAAATGTGTGGGTGCCCTCACCTTGACCCTGTGTCCCAGGGTTATCAAGACATTCCCAAAGAATGTCTGAGCCCAAGGAGATCTTGCTAGTGTTGAGCAGGTCACACCATCTGAGGCCCTGGTGGGAATGAAATACCTTACACGTAGGGCCTTCTCTTATTGGAGGGGAACACAGCTCCTGGTTCCTCCAACTGGCATATTTCAGTTGGCCTGAGTGAAGAGGCTTTAAAATCTTACCAGAAGTCTCCCCCCACCAGAGTAGTGCAGGAATCCCTGGGGCCCTTCCTCTGTGCTTACAAAGCTGGCTGGACTACCTCTATCTTAAATTTACTGCCATTTGTATCTATACCAAACTTCTTGAGGATCTATATCTGGCTTATCACCTCCTCCCACAGTCAGTCACCCCTATGGTATAGGGTACGAGCAGATACTGAATAAATGTTTGCTAAATGAAATCAGTAATATAATGAGAACTTGACTACTGAGTTTGATATTGTGTGAAACCTGTTTTGAGAAATGGCAGTAGTATAGGGCAAAAAATATTGGACATGCTTTGTTCCCCACCTCTGCCTCTTTTGATCCTTGTAAACATAAATAAACCACTTAAATATTTAGAACCCCAGGTTTTGTTTTTTTTTAAATTTTACGATGGGGATAGTTGCCTGACTCTGATGATGATCAGATTAGATGATATATGTGAATAGTCTTTCATACCTCCAGATATGAAAATTTGGATAGAGCTTTAATTTGCAGCCAACTGGAGACTTTGGGTTGTCTCTAAATATTGATTCAAGTGCTCAGTTGCTTTGATGGGTAGAAATAGGATGTTACTAATTTTAGAGCTGAATGCAAGTGTGAAAAAGTCAATGATATATTTTGATCATAGAGATGTTAGCATCTTGCAAAAACATAGTCTAGTCATCTAAAGAAATAAAAGCCCTGGCTTTTGTATAATTCTTTTATTGACTTACTGTGAAATCTTAAAAAAATCCTAAAAATGCCTCCATCCCTCAATTCCTTCACCTAAGGAATAGAACCTCTCTACCCAAGAAAACTATGTGAACATAACCGAAATACTGTGTGTATGGAAGCTATTTTAGTTCTTTGAAAGAGATACACAATATAAATCCAAGCTGTTATTTTTATTTCTGAGTAAATTTGTTCAAGAATAGAATCTGGATTTATATGATGGTGTTTTATAGCACTGGGTTTATGTAGAGGTTTTTAAATGGCTGCTCTCCCAGTATGCTTAACACAGAATTGGATAGACACAGAAAACTCAGTTGAGTAGTGTTAAATGACATTGTGTGCAGGTTTGAAACCCAAATTGCATAGCGAAAATGGCTGGCCTGTCTGCAGTCTTCAGGAGCCTGCTACCTTCAATGGGATGCCTGCTGCTTTCATATTCTCTGGCTTGCTCAGAGGTGTAATTTTTTTCCCCGTGGAATTCTATGACAGCTATGAAAAGACTGCATATTTTCCTCACTGCTTCCCTTCTCCCACAGAAATACAATGCAATATTTCTCTATCAAATACTAGCTATTAAAGTGGAGTCACCCAAGTTTCTCTGTAGAAAACTGGACAAATAATTCAAGAGACATGAACTTTATAATGTATGTGAGCATATATTTGCCAAATGTGGACATCAAACTATCTCAATCTCTTCCTATGTTCCTGAGAAGATATTGACTGAATGCTGCTGTTTTTTTCTTTTTGGCTGGTCCCAATACTGGAGGAACTGCTTGGCAAATCATGTCTTATATTTTGAAAGTTATTCAATTTTCTCTTGAGTTCCTGTGTAGAATGTGGATGACACCCATGATGA